GAAAATTCACCTGACAGATCAAACATGTGGCAGCATTCACTCTGTGAGCAACAATTTTGAAACAAGTGCCACAGGGAGTCTGTTTCGTCAATATGAAGTGGCTTAACAGTTTTGACGGCAAAAATGAATCAATGGAACGAAAAGAACGCAAATAAAACTGCGGTACAATATTTGGATAAGACACTTAAGCACAACGAATAAATTAGGGATACCAAAAGAGACTAAAATAACCAAAACTTAACGTCGAAATGCTGCAGTGCACAAGATAATAAACGATGCAAACTGGCCTGGCAGCAGAGCGAAGAAAGCTGATAAGCGAGCGTTATCCATTCTCCAGCGGTGTGAGACAAGGGTACCCGCCATCACCTTTCCTTTATAACCTCGCCATCGACGAAGTCACGGAAACTACATCCATTGGACACGAATCGGAGGCTGTGCAGCTGTTTCTCGGTGATCGACTTCTTGACATGGAGTGCACCATTATCTGTGACAGCTCCTGAACGTGTCAAGCATCACTGGACAAGTTATCTCCGGACGACAATCGTCTCGGGCTATGCTTTGCAACATCGAAGTGCAGATTCCTTCTCCAAGATTGATAGAGACCAACCGCAACGCTAACTCATGTCGGTGACCAGCTAGAAGTCGTCTGGAAGTTCAAGTATATTGGCAGCTACATTAGCGCTCGTAGGCTCGAAGATGATATCATCATCCGAATAGCGAAATTTCGAGGCACTTTGGCCAATCTCCGCCACTAGCTGAGCCGGTGGGACATCACTCTCGCTCTGAACAGCAGCGTCTACGATTCAGCCGTCCGTTCAACCCTCCTGTACGGTTAGGAAACCTGCCCCATCCAATCGACGGATGTAAATAGGCTAGTTACGTTGGATCATTGCTGATTTCGCTGCATAGTTCACATCTGGTGGGAACACCGCGTGAGCAATGATCGTGTTTGGTGTCGTGTATTTAATACAGGAAGAGCGAGCGAATCGCTCAGCACCGTTATATCATGCAACAGGCCTCGATGGCTAAGCCACACGTTGGGCATACTGGCACACCGACTCCCGCGACGTGCGTTGCTTGCCGGACCAGGCTGTGGTTGGACGAAATGGAGGGGAAGCCAATCGATGACTTGGTCAAACGGAATGAAGTCCATCACTTCGAAGTTGGCGTCGGTTGGTGTCTGTCAAAAGACCATGAACACGTTTGGTTGGATACACTTGTTGACACGGCGAAGAGTCGGCCCCAGTGCCATTTGTGTTTTGCGTTTCTTTGTCCCACCCTCACCTGCTTATATTTTGCCTTCAACCACGTTTAAACATGTGATGAGTAATATGATACGGAACATCGTATTGCTTTTTATTTTTTTAAATTTTATTCAGCAAGGTGTTGTATCTCACTTTTTATTTCTATATTTTGTGTTGTAGCACACTAGCTAAATTAGGTTTTTCACCTTCAGCTAATGTATAGTGCTGATGACGACAAGGTATCGGCCATTTGTTGCATACTTTGGAGATACAACTTCCACTGTCTAACCATTTGATGGGAAACTCACACGGCTCCATTCACCCTGCTCTTCTGCACCTCACCCATGACTTTTCCTGGTTTTCATCGGGATTCCTTGGAGCAATTTCATATGACCTATGAATGGCCCACCATGATTCCACTAATCAATTGCTAGTCACTTGTCACAGCACTATTACGAAGTTGTGGTGATGTTTTCGATGGTTGTGACATAAGTTGCAGTGCCCCTGTCACTTATCAACAGACACTAAAGTGACCAAAGTGGCTTATCCTATCTTCCTCCGTGTTTGTTCATGAACTTTAAGGCTGGAAGCAATGTTACTTCTGCATGTTATTCTATTCGAAGATTAAATTAATCTCTAGAAACTTGTGTTATTTTTCAGTTTTATTTTATATTAGAAACCCAATAAAGCACTAGAAGATTGCTTCGGGAAATATAATGATGGGAGTTGAACAAGCGTATCCTAACAGTCAATCACAAACTTCTTATTTCGCAACCGCAGTGCGTTCCATGACAGTGAGCGATTAATAATCGTCCAGCTGTTCTTCAACCTCTACGGAACCCTTTCAGTATAGTACTTCTGTCAGTGCCTCTCACCGAGGCTCCTCTACGCTACTGCATTCCACTCAACTACGCACTGATGATGTCATCTCGATTGGTGACGAAACGTTTGCAACAAAATTGCCAAGCTCAACGAACAGTTCAACCGCCATCAATGCAATTTTATTTATCATTAATTCAGGTCCTAAATTCTGCTTATCTCAATCCACCGACACTTTTACATGGAAAGCCGTTCGAGATCCCATTGTACCACAGATACGTCAATAATACTTAGCCATATGTTCTCTACAAGTGAGAATTACCGTTGCATCCCGAGGACAGCAAGTGTGTGTGTGTAAGCGTCTATAGCAGCGTTACAAGCGCTAGACAGTGTTACACAAGAGACGTACAGAACCTCCGTTAACTAAGTTGCGGGTAATTAGAGTTATGCACAGTAGAATCCAACAAAGTAGGTGAGGGCACCCGTTTCTAGACTGCCCTACGCAGAGCAGGAGCGCGAATGTATCTGGTTTGAATTACAGTATGAGCCATGCACGATCAAACTAGGTACACTGTTGTCTGCTTGGCCGTCTATTTAAAGCTGGTGTCAAAATTTAAGGAAGTTGCTGTGACCACAAACTATCTGATGTCTTAGACAGTCGTCCATAGTTGTCCTTCCTTGGCGATATAATGTTTCAAGGAAATTAACATAACCATTTCGTTTGATTGATCACACAGACTTCAGCGTGAACAGATCGCACCCCTATGGCGACTTTAACACCTTCGTTATCTTGCTACTTGATTCACCATTTTATCTTACCTATGTATTCGATATGATTGTGAATTATCATAGCTGACTTGTTTGCTACACCTACTTCTCATGACGGAAACGGGAATTACTCAGCATTGCAACATTTCACGATTCGATTCGTTTGCTCATCTGTCTCCGTAACTTGGAAGATCGGAAAACAGTAGCCGACACGGTATCATAACTGTTGCTCAGGTAACCTGTTGGATAGCAAGCGAACTTGTTAGGACGGTCCTTACATGTTCATAATGATGACATATGGCATGATACCACGTTTCTGAGGAAATACCTGAGGTTTATTACTGCGTATGCACTATCAAAAGCATGTTTGAGTTGCGACAACTTGGTCTAAATTCATCATCATCAACACACGTTAGCCGCGGGTGAGAAACACACCACAGCTAATGTGCTGCAAGTCTATCTTAATTAACGAGGACCGTATCTTGAGTAGGGAGGTCCTGATATACACTCTCTAACTGGCACATCTGGCCTAGTTGGTTTATAATTAGACCTTCCAACTGAAGAACGTTTGTTTTCGATTTAGACCCATAGAGTTGGGGAGCAACTACGTTGTAACTTTGCATAGGAATTTTAGCATGTTCCTGGTGCTCCAAAAACCGCAAACAAATCCCTAGTTTTGTAATAATCTTTAAACACAATACTCGCCGGCTTATTGATACATTGGTCAACTTATAAAGTCAAGGCACACTCTCGCAATGGCCTACCTGAGGAATTCTGCCGCAGGCTAAATTGTTTGTTGGGTGCTATTCCATAGTACATAACACCAATAATTTCTTTATGGTTTCCGGTTTCCGCATCATTTCAGCGATCCCTGCTTCGCATTAGACGTTTTCCTACACACCTTTTGTTTTACTGTCAGCTAATGTACGCAGTGCTTATGTGATCATGTTAAAACCGTATTCCCTGACTGAATCTTTCAAATTGTGAGCTACTTGCTATTTCTACCACGAAGAGCTAGTTATCGTTAAGTAGGCGGGAAAATAGAATACCTGCCACTTCTTGTATGTTATCGCTTCGACTGTAATTCAAAACAATAAAACCTCGGTTCATTGCCATCTTAACAAAGAGTCCGTTTATTGATTATGTCAGGTTTTGTACGGTTTTCCAAATAAGTAGACCTGTCATTTCGTTGTTTCCTCTTTGAAATATCTCTCTAGGAAAGTAAAAATATCAACAGTAAGTAGCTGGGGCACTCCAGAGGGGTTGATCGCCATCGGATCTGATTCGGAACCCAACCGGAATACTCTGTATAATCATTTCCTTATGAAATTTAGTCTTGCTATGCCGGGACTTAGTCCCAAATTCTTTGTAGTAGGCGGATGAGCTCATTTAACTAGCCGGGTTCAATATATGCGGTTGAAAAAGGCCTACATATTTGTGGTTTCTTCGGATATATCAGAACTCAAAAGCCTGTGCAGATGCCAAGAGTTCACAAGGCTACAACTGTTAGACCAGTTTGTTGAGTTTTAGATTACTCGCCGTATAGCTGGATTGTTTATTTTGGGGTTAACCTCTGCTATTTCGATGACTGGAACCGTATCGGAAGTGAGGAGTTTCTGTTCTGCCCTCGCCTAACGTTGCACTGTTGCGGCAGCGTAGCATCAAAACTCTCCATTTGTTTATTTGTCATATGACACTCGGAGTTACTAAAGCTCAGTGACGGAGACAACACACCTCCATAATTTCATTTTACTGAGTAACTACGCATGCCTCTCCGAAGACTGAACATAGCCTGTCTACTTACTCAGTCGGTTTATCTTATGAGTCGTTACTGTAAAGCCATGCTTATGAATTCGACCTATTTCCGAATGATATGCTTATTCACGGTTTGTTTGTGATATCACAGGTAATTCTGGATCACTGGGTGATATAGTGTACACCCACCAAACTACTCTTCGGTCATTACGGGTTTGATCGCATCAACATCAAGCACTCCGATGTTTTTCTGACTTCCTCTGCTTTAACTTCTGGTGGTTTTAGTTAACTAGTATTCCTATAAGCTATTGGTGACGGGCCATGCTCATTGCAGATAAGAGGCTCAATCGGTTGTATTTGCCAACAAGTAACACATCAACTTGATCACTACGTTATTCACCTCTTTTGTTTCAGCCGTCGGCCGGTGTACTTCGTTGACGGCTATGCTGCTCCCACCTGGGTCTCAGAACCCTTGGGGGAATGCGGCCGCCGCAGGAGCAGGAAACGCCTTTCTCACTACCTCCCGACCTGTGATAGCGGATCTCGCTTTGGCCGCTTTGAAAGAACGAGGCGAAGTGCAAAAGAAGCGATTATGCCCGCAGTTCCGTACTGATCGGTCACTATTTTTCATGACCAAGAAAAATCCCATCAGACGTATTTGCATCAGTATCGTGGATGCAAAGTATCCTTTTACTTGGAAAGTTATTTTCTGTTGTTCGCCTTATACAAGGAAACTCTCAATGTTTTGTCTCGTGGTTGCACTTCGATAATTTTTGCACTTGATCCTGGTTGATACCACGGGTTTTCAAGTCACTTCATCACCACAAACATCAGTGAGCCTTGTGTTACATTCCCTGGAGAAAGTAGATGAGAAACCTAATCTCATTTGAACTCACCAATCGTCTCGAAATAAACGGTGATTGACTTGAGTGTCATGATCACACCCGAACCAATGAGTTGTTACCCGTTTCGAGCATTGCATTTGGCCACTGATTTCGTTCCTCGTCTTCAGGAGCTTCAATCATTGATCTTTGGTGGCGGCCGGTCTGCCACCCTCACTGGTAACTAACTAAGCTCTACCTGTGCCATCGGTTATGACGTCATTTTTACCAAGCACTATACAAGTTGATGCTACATTTATAATGCTTTTTTTATCGCACTTGGGCTACACCGAATTACACTTAAACTAAACCTTCTCAATCTGAGTAGATAGTATTCAACTATTTGATTCGCTCAGTTCTGTTATTCCGCTGCATGTTCCGTGTCAACCTTGCGTGTTTATTTCCTTCCAAATTCTATGTTGGTTGTTTGATGTCCCCGATGTGGTTGCGCTTGATGTGAATGTTGCTAAGGTGCCTACCTGTGTAATAACACCCACCACTATTACTGTCTCCAGGACATTGTACGTCGCTGCCGGAAGGACGGGCAGCACGGTCATTGTGGCTGTGCTAGGCTGAAAGGGCGGTTCCATCCAGTGTGGGGCGACTACGGCCCAGCCAACACCTTGTGTACGTCTGGTACGCATGATTCCCAAATTAGATAGGAATGTTGTTGTTGTGCGTGTTGAAGAAGTGTGGGCCGGCCCCGTTGATATAACGTGGTCCCTATCCACATACCTCCAGGTCTTATTCCCTCGGGTTTACACCAGATATGGGGTGTGTGGATGGAGTTGTGTGTGGTGCAGCGCATACAACCCATGGTCCCTCTGTAGGCGCAGGCGTCCCGTGGCTGTCTTTTGGAGACCTCAGTGACATGCTAATTGGGAAACGGATGCCGCCAAACATACACAGTGTGTTTTTGGATTTATACCTACTGCCTGGATCGAAACGGCTTAATTTAACACCACTCTCGTCTAGTTTGCTCACCAGAACTGTTTTAGCTAACTTTTTCGTTATTACTTGTCCCTCGGAGGTACGTAACGTTGTCCTCAAACTTTTCATCTCAACGCCTTAAAAGACGTGCCACGCCGACCTTGCGAGTGACACGAGTACCAGCAGTTGAATGACCACGCGAAGATATTTTAACATTGATTTGTATTTCTGTAAAGCGAATGCATCCGGACATTCTGACGTGCCTTCATCCAGGGCCCGTGCTACTTATTCCATGCCTTATGAGGTGCGGTCGTTGGCGCATTGCAGCATTAGAGAAACAAAAGCAACTGTGTTTCTACCTTAAACGGGCAAGATCTTACTGATTGAATAAACATAGGATGTGCTTCACGGAAGCGAACTGTACGAGTTACGATTGAGCGCTACAGTCTTACCCGCGGTTTGTTATGTGTTGATTGTGGAGTCAAATTGATTACACTGGTGGCAACTGCATCCACCTCACCTTGGCACTTTGGTCACATATCTTTAACTGAACTGAACTGAATTGTGCCACGGCACTACTGAAATGTCGGTTTGTTCGGACTACATCATGCATGGGAGGGGCATAAGGATTTTTCTGGCGAGCTTTAGATGAACAAAATCCATCCAAAACTGGTGCAGGAACGGTTAGTTAGTGTGACTGGGTAATCAAAAGTGTAGCGTCGAACGCGGACATCTAGCTCGTCAGGTCTACAATTCTCCTATCCTCATGCCTCTTTTTCAAGCAGATCAGCTTGAAATCGACTTTGATCACCGTACTCGTGGTCATTCTCTCATACTGGTTGGTTCGCCAATTAAATGAACATAGCGCGATAGCCTACCTTCATCTATTTTCTTGGTTTGACTATCAGAGTGTGGAGGCAGGTCGCGGAGCGGTTCGGGCGCTTGGATTGTAATCAACAGGCCACCGGTTCGAGCTTCCGTAAGTACGGGAGGTCTCGCATTTTTCACAATTAGTACCCAAACTCCGGTGCTCGAGTGGTAGCGAAGTGGTATGAAGCTCTGGCGCCTCCGCGGACACCTCCGTGAGGTGAGTGTTTGCGATAACCCAGTAATTTATCGCCAGGCACCATATACAGTTTAAGCTGCTATGGCGGCCACCGGTCTATGGCGACCAGCCAAGAACATTCCCAACTTTTTCTCCCAGGAGTAATGTCCCTATGCATGAACCTGTCCAAGGCGACCACTTTTTGTCGGTCCCCTGAGTAGTCCAAACATCTAGCTAAACCGAGCTAAAGTCCACTGTGGCATATTGCCTTTGCTGCCTTCATCAAGTTTCTATTAAGACAGCTCCGGCAACGATATCCCGTTTCTCAGACTGTCTACCTTTAGGTTCAAAGTGATTAAATATCCTACCAGCCGGATAAAGGCTTTACATTTCAACGAAAGGTATATAGATATAAGCTCCGGCGTCATCATTTATCTGCTGTATATTGGGAATGGGTAATAATGACTTATGATATATTCTCTAAGGTTCCCGAACCGGATGTCTGAAGTGAAAGTAACAGGAACCTGTTTGAAACCCTAGGCCTTCCATTTCCGCGCTAATCTTGGCGACAAGACGGAGGCATCCCAGTTGGTGTCTATAAAACTTTATGCATTGAGACTCATTAGATACGTAACATTGTTACCATGTTACCGTCTACCACTGGTGTGTGTTAGTTTATCCATTTTGTAAAACTGTTAGGGAGTAAAGTGGTACAGCATACACCTGACATCATCTACCATCTTTCATTAGCGGATCGCTCAGATTTTGTTCTGAAATATACTGTACCTATTGATGGGCTTGTTTACGGCCACTTTCTTCGGCCACATCGGTTCAGTTCGGATCAATATTACGGTGCGCAGGGATGGGATGTTACACCAGCCAATCATCTCGCCCTGATACGCCCGCGTAAACTTGGGTGCGGCACTCTAAGCCGTGCTTGCATGCTTGTTCGCACAAGGTTCACGACCGGTGACACAGTCACACCTCTTCGTAGCACATCCGTGCTATACAGACAGTAGTCCGGGACAGTATGTGGCGCACACTGGGAACAGTCCAGGCGGGAATGTTAACTGGTTGGTGAATTTGCAGAGGCGTCGTTCATTCTATCGATCTGCTGGATGTGGGTATTGGCGGAACATAACGCCCTAGTTTTCATACGTAGAAAGACGAACTATTGTCTCCGGTCAACTTAGAGATACGGCATCATGCTGAACTGTAGCTAATGTACAAATTAATCATACGTTTATCATTCACAGGATTTAAGATGATAAACGACATTGTGCCACCCACAAACATAATTATTGTCTCTTGACAAGCTCATGCGTTGTCACGAGGTATGGGCAACAGCTATCTGCGTAACGGGTAAAATAAATTTGAATTGTGATGACAAAAGTTCCCGCTAAGCTGGTTCGGAGCATAGTCTACGCTGCGTGGAGCCAAATTGAGATCAGAGTTACAACTGTAGGTTGCACTATTTCGGGGGATAAATCGATTGAACTATCTGTTCTTATGCGAACATATTTCAGATGAAATCTTAGTCGTGAAAGCAGTCTAGGTGGATCAGTTACTGTGGCCATATCCAAAGCAGTAAAGTTTTGTTTGTCGGCTTCCGGTCAAACAAGTCAATACTATCTTTTGCCTCACCCGAACATATCGGGCAAAAATACCACTTATGGATTAAGCCAGAGGCTAAACCGACCCCTCAATCGGCTCACTTGGCTATGCTCTGTCAAACTTGTAAGGACAGAAAACACTTGGCACAAAGACCCTTGTTGATGACGATCTCCTATGTCAAAGAATGATGATATCAGTGAACTGCACAATATAGAACCCGATTTACGATGGAATGCCACTTTAGGCACGAAATTAACGATACAGATGTGATTTCTGTTAGACCTCGTCAACGTGTGTGTGTGCACTTCATTGTAGCAGAACCCGGAGGAACTTATTCGTCACCCGCCTCCTTATTCGTGATCCGAAAATCGCTAAACTCTTACTGCGCGAACTTATCACTGCCCATTGAATAAGCTACAGAGTAACTGTGGTACTTCAGCAGTTTCTTTTCTATCAGCGTGACAATATTGGGATAGTTAGCACTTACAATCTGCGTTCGTCAACACTTCGAAAACCAGTCATATCCATTTGTTAAGTGTGGGGTCATTTTGACGCACTGGTTGTATGACTGAATTGCGGAAAACACACTGTCAATCAAGACCGCGACTCGGTCTTCGGGAACCGCCTTTGGAGCAAATCTATTTGTTATCCGTGCAGCTCTGCCGCGCTTTCATAACTTGATCGGTAGCTCGACAGATTGTCGGGAACACGTAAAGCGAACATATCTGACAGAGGAACATTCAGTGTTGCAAACTCGCAGCGCTGTACTCTGCGACGTGGTTCGTACTTTGTTGCACTCGCCAGTTTGCGATGGCAGGACTGCGACTCTAACGCGGGATCAGTGGAATACTAAGCGAATCATGTATTCCTAAGCCACCGAGTCGCGGCGATTAACGCTTGCCGCAGCGGTTAATGATTAGGTGAGGGTCATTTTAAAACACTCGTTAAGTGCGAGGATCGCTGCAAGTAATCTCAGTCAAGACCGCTAATTGCTTTGTAGCGGACTTTGGTCACGGGGATCGCATCTTAAGCAGATGAATGCCAAGTGTTTTGAAGAGGGGAGCACCGCCCTCTTCAGTCTCACTTTCTCTCACTTACGAGTGCAAGCATTTCATAATCAGTCGTGCAGTGTTGTGTTGTTCGCTCAGAAGCGGTCCCATTGACCAAAGTTCACTTCAAAGGAAATCGCAGTCTTGGTTGAGCATGTGTGTC